TTGGCTTTAAAGAGACTGATTTCATTTAGCAGCTTAATCTGGATTTGGAGTTTTGGTCAATTCAAAAAAAAGATTTAGATCTTAAGGGTTCTGTTGACCAAGATGCGTCCGTGGTTAGGTGTTAGATTACCAGCAATAAAAACAAAGTTCGCAAAAAATGATGAAGGATGCAAAACCGTCCCCTATGCATGGGGTTTGGTATCGTTTTACATTTCCGGCACAATAAAACGAACCGCTAAACGAAGCTTTCCCAAGTGTTTGCGGATATCACCTCCGTTGTAGGCAGCTTACTCACAGAATATGAAAATGAGATATGCATCAAAGGAGGACGTCAATTGCAGACCTTCGGTTGAAAAGAAATCAGGAATTCTTCCAAGCGAAATAAATACACACCAGTCGTACTATAAAAGCTTGTCATAAAAGGTGGCGTCAAAGGTAGGGACCGTTTTAGATTCGAGTTAGCTTTCCTTCATCACCAATATATTACTTGAGCAGAATGTGTGTAGCCAGTAAAAGTGAAGGGAATGGTGACTTTTGACTTGGCTAGGAGACCAGTTTACCTATCTTAAGCGAGTCTAGCTAGGTGATCGCAGCCAATACCGGCAGCCAAACAATGAATTACTTCCTCAAACTGGGAAAACATAAGTACTATCGTTATGGCTCTCCAAAGTCCTATGTACATAATGTACTTGGTAACTATGCCTTCCTGCATTGAGTAAGATCGGCATCCATATTTCCACTGATACGAAATAAGCTATCATTTTCCAGCACCCATGATCTGGTCGGACGTTTTCTGAATAACGCTACTCACTTCTATGACTCCCATTATTTTCACATAATGACCAGTTCAACTCTATGAACATGTAATGAGATCTATTAAATAAACAGAAAAATAAAGGATAAAAGGACGACTATATTAGGATACTGTACAAGATTGCGAACCTCTACTGGATGTACTTCCGCATGAATTTTTTGTGGAATTCGGACCGCAAAGTATCGTTAATAAATCCACGTTTTGAATGATCGACCTCGCCACGAGCACAATTCTTGAAGACGACATCATCATCCCAGCGACGCTTAACTTTGAACTCTAAAAATAGGAATCAAAGGGATTGGTTTAACGAAATGAATAATTTAGAGAAAAAAATTGGTCCAAAATTAGTCTACCATATGATCCAACAAATGCCTCAAACACAATTCAAAAAGATGACAAATGTACAGATCGACCTAAAACATAAAATGAGGCGTACCCGATGAATTGTTATTATTAAGCAAAGGGTTGCCCTTGAGAATGTTTTCCATCCGGATGGTCTCCTCCGCAGCCTTCTTTTCGGCTGCCGCTTGCACAGCTTCTTCTGCGCGTTCCCGTTTTATTTTCGCCAATTCAGCGAGAAGAGCCTCCTCATCCTCTTCGTCGCTCTCATCATCGTCCTCACCAGAAGTTGGACTAGGGTTATTAATCGGTGCCTTGAGATCCTCTTCAGTATAATCCTCTTCCCATGGGTCGTCAGCATCTAGATTTGCGGTTGGGACAGAAGTAGCGTTAGCTGTTTGAGCTGGTTGCCGTGGTCGTTTTGATGAGCCAATGTTGCGGTCCTGATCCGAAATCGCCGGCCGTTTTTCGCCAGAATGGGGCATGAGCGCATGATTTTGACCTAAAATGCAATTCGGTAATGTCAACAATCACCAAGTAAAATGACCCCGTCCAAAAGCAATAGCAACCACAACAGTATATGTTAATTAGACATCAGATAGTTACAACCAACCTTTTTTCGATTTTTCAGTGGCAGCTTGTCTTTCCTTTTCCTCAAGATCCTTCTTAAAATCCTTTCCCTGAAGATCCTCCGGTCTTCCCTGCCCTTCTTGGCGATACTTCAGCTTTGTATGCGAAGGAAGGTCACGAACCGAATACTGTTTTGAGAGAGCGCTCAAGTCGCCCTCCCATTTACCTTTCCCACCCTTTGCAGTGTTCCACGTAGGCCTACCAGCTGTCGTCATTATTAGCAAACCTCGCGCCCAAACGTGAATCTGACATACAGAAAAGTCAAATTAATCATATTTTGTATTACTCAAAGGCTTTAAACACTGTCAGATTTCCTAAGTATTTTAAAATAAATTAAGCAATATGAAAATGCAAAGCCCACGTGATAATGGATTAGCAATTTTAACTTCTACAATAACCAGTAGTCTAACAAGTCGTGGTGCAGCCGATTGGTGGATATTTATAAACCTCTTGTTATTATATGTAAGGTCAAAAATGCATTTAAGTCTTTTTAATTTCTTTCGGCTGTATCCGGAAGCTAATTGCAATATGTCACTTTGTTTACAGTGTTTTATGTATTGTTAATGACTGGCAATGTTATTTTATATTTTTCTTACCTTTTGTTTTACTGTACTATTTCGTTTGTCTTGTGGGATCTCATTATTCTTCTTATCTCTGCCTTGTCTCTGCGTTGTCGCAATGAGTGAGGGGGTTGCTTCTGTTTTGGCGGAAGTCGGTGACTTCCAGAAAGATAAACTTAAGCATGTTGATCCAGCTGTCAAAAATGTATTGCCCACTGCTGATGGTACAGGATGTTTCCTTTGATCCTTTGTAGATGTTAAGAATGAGAAAAAAGAATCTCAACTCATGCATGACATCGAACAGGGAACTCATCTGAAGAAGGTAAAAACAGTTGAGAAAAATCCTTTACCAACGAAAGAAGGTAAGTCAAATCGGTGCATCGCCTACTACTGTCACCAATTTCACATCTTTATCTACGCCCTTCTTGCTGAGCCTAACGCTGTTAACCTTGTGCCTTTATTTCTTATCACTAATCCTATCAGAATTAGTAGTTATTCCGTTATTTTTGGTTAACTTGTCTGACGATGACTGATTCTTTGCTTCAGATATTGAGAGGGAGAAGAAGGAGCAGAAGTAAATTTTGCATCTTCCGATGGGACTTTGATTGAACTTCCATTCGATAATGTAACGATTTTTTAATGCTAATTTTTTCCGTTTTTTTCGCGTTTCATATTGTTTAAGCAAGGAATTGTCGGAATGAGCCTTAGGCACTGATTGCTTTTGGGAGTCTTCCGGGGTCGTCATCGTGCGTCACCTGTCGGTGTATTCCGGTTTGGTTGGATGCATTCCATTCTTGGTACAATGAATTCACCGAATGTTGGTCGCATGTTACATCTCGTTTTGCGGCAATGGTAATTTTGTAGGTCTGAAGTCTTTCTTGCATTGAGCGGTTGTGATTTGCGTTTCTTCCTTCTTGTGGCATGAGGTTGTTTTGTGTGAAATGGGCGGAAGTCTCGGCTCTTCTTTCCATCACAGAATTGAGTTATCCCCTGTCGCCCTCTTGGGTGCGCTAAGGCATTAGCGTCCTATTTTGTCGCTGTCGTGCTACGGTTCCGCTGCTATTTGTGTCAAGTCAGGTTGCGCTTGCACTGTTTGCATCGGGGTTTGACATCTGATACACTCGCACTACTTAGTCCTTGAGTGGCGTTGATGTCCCCTGCGTTCGGTTCAAGGCTTCTCCTTAATTCTGCCGTCGCCTTTATGATAACGTGCCGTTGCTGTCCTTCCTTAGTGTCTGTTTCACGGTCTTGTCTACCTCTGGGTAACTCGGGCGACTGCTGTAGAATCTAGATGACAAATCGCCAGAATGGATCACTCTGTCCTCTAGGTCGTACGTTGAGGTGCCGTAAGTGCTTGTGTGTCCCATGTGTTATTTACAGAAGCGGATGCTACCCACTCGCACCTTTCATCTACATAGTGTTACAACGGCTCCTTTCTTACCTGCAATCTGTGCATGTCCCCGGCCTATGAGATTTGCAAGGTCGTTTGTTAGCGTATGGCTGTGAGATGTATTTCTTGGTAGCTATCGGAAATTCTGGTGCTAGTCTCTCGTTGCCTTTAGCGTTCGTATGTTTCAAGCGCAAAGCGGCTTGGGTGGATGCCCTGGTTTTGGACGATGTTATGGCAGCGGTGCATATACGCATTTCTGAGTCGGTGTCTCGATTTGGTGAATATTTAGCTATGCAATGCGTTTTAGCTAACCACCGCACTTTATATGCACCGCATATAGGTTGTGCATTGCAAAACAATTAAAGGCAAGTTGCTTTGCCCGACAAATTGCATAAAACGCTCCAGTATTGGTGTTTGGTGATGTTGGCATCCTGATGACTGAACGAATAACTTTTCATATCGTGCGTCAACTCTGAGTTGCGAGCTCCGTTGATCTGAAATACTTAGCGGAAAGGAGGGGCGAAGCTTGGAGCTCTTCCTTGGCTCAATTTAATACAGTGGGGGTAGGATTGGGATTTGGTATAGGTGTCATGGGGAGTCGGTTTGATAGCTAATCTTGGCATTGCATAAAGTCAAGCGCTACCACACAACAGCGATCTTGCGCGAACATTATTTGCGATCGTGGCGGATCCCAGTGTATTTTGCTGGAGTTGATACAGCCATATGGAAGTTCAGCTGCTGGCCTGATTGTAGTGGTGAAGGCCGCTTATTCATGTGGCTTTTCTCTACCTTCTCAACGGTCTTCGGTTCTCACGTCTAATTTGCATGAATCTACATAACCGTAGTAATGTAAACGCAAATCAGAGTTAGTTCATACACTGCACAAAAGTCGGCAGTGGTTTTTGCGCCTCTTTATCGTAGCTTCAAGTAGGGGTTTCATGGGATGAATTGGTGGTATATGGCGTGTGTTTTAGGCGCTTGAAGTTCGTAGCATCTCGCACTATCGAACTTAATACTACTTTGCAATTGAGCTAGCTGCCTCGACTTGCCTTCGGATTCACTACTTTAAGGATGCGTTCGAAGTGTCTACAGGTAATACAAGTCGGTCAATTCAACTGGGCATCGACATTCACAATCTACTTGTCGACGCAAAAAATGGTAGAGGGTTTAGATCCCCAATAACATTGATCAAGTGAGAGGGCTTGAAAGGATATTATTCTTGTGCTTCTATCGGTATTACATGTCATCCTTGACCCTTTATGAAATTTCATATGATATTTAAAGCCGCATCATTTATCTCTAACAATAGCATAGCTCCTCATGTTTGATTAATCACTTCTAGGCTCACACAAAGCCTAATGTTTGGTTGGCTGGACCTAGTTAGCGGAACGAGAGCGCTTTTATCTGAAACCAGGCCTTCAGGTGCACATTGGAAGGGTTAAGCAGCTTGTGAGGCGCTCTTCCACGTGTTGGCCGGGACATCGTAATTTTGTCGTAAATGAAACCTAAGGAGCACTGAGGACAGCACATCAATGCAACATTTTGGGACAGCTTAACAACACATAATGTTAAAGAGGGCTCAAATAGGGGTACAGTTGCTGTTCTAAAGTAAGCATCCTTTTCGACGCTTCATGCCAATGGGGTGCCTGAACATTTGATAAATATTATCCAATTTTGAATTTGAACTTGCTAGGTTGCCACAACCTTTTACTCAGGGGTTCTAGAACACAACAGTGGGGTAATGCTCCTAGAGTGAAGGGTGCTGGAATGGTGGTATTGGCTCACAAGATGACTGCCTCTGCAGTTCGCAGACCCCAATAGAACTATTTCTACATAGTAGCTATTCTCGACGGGGTTAAACATGTACATTCACGTTTTTGTCTCCAGGACTGATGATAAAAGTGCATGTTCTAATGAACCTTAGCATCATGACAATTACGTCACGTGAATAGAGGGTCTGGGCGCAAAAAAATATCCAAGTTTTATTAAAAACCAAGTAACATTTTAGACCAAGTAGTGCCTACTAATGGGGCAGTTAGCAAGCTTAGGTCTATTCCTTTGGCTCTTTTCACCACCTCATTAGTTAGTGAGCCAACAGAAAAGGCATTTTTTTCATGTATAGCGTGTGTTTGCTATAGATTAGGTAGTAACTCTCAGTAGTCTGAAAGCCCCTTTAAGACTTTCTCGAAGAAAAAAGAGGGGATGGTTTTGGAGCAGAATAGGTATGCTCGAAATACGACCAAACCTGATGGCCATTCTACGAGGCGAAGATTCAGTAGTGGAGATCTTAAAATGGACCTTTTATTAAAACTTCGAGTTTAACCGTCAACACATTGTACGCTTATGTTCACATTTGTAAGACCTGTTGAACAGTTTCAGCTACTTCCCACCAATGCCAGGTTTAACCTGGCTGGTGTTTTTGACAATTACGGTTCAAGGCGAAACGGATAGATAGGATGCAGAAACAATACTGGAGCCTTTCAGTTCGTCCGGGTAAGCGCTAGCCACATTTTCATTTTTAAGGAATTGACTTTCTATGTCCATAAATGTGTTACTTTTTTATAAGGTTACAGTTAAACTGTTATTTGTTCGGGTATAATCGATTCGTCTACCAGAATCCCTAATTTTCGTCCCCAAGGTAGTGTCCATGCATTCTCATAAACATTGTGAAGAATGAAGGCGCAAATTTACTATGTCATATCTTAACAAAATGCACCCTTCAACGAGTCATCGTAAAACCAGCCGAAGGCACCACAAACTACCTGTTCCATTGGTTCCCTTATGAGGTAGATTGCTTGCACCCTCTAATCTGAATAAATTATGCACGCACCGTTTTGCTGCTACGACAGGCCAGCACTCATCTAAGAGCCTTCTATTAGTGCGTCTCGAAACTGCCTCATATTCGCAACAACTTTTGATTGTCAGCACCTTTCATTTTGGTTTCAATAGTTGTTCGGTAGAACGTCATCAAAAGTGCTGGACACCTTGCTGATTGATTGTGAAATTCATTCCCTAGGAGAACGACCCATATATGACTGTGTTAGTTTCAACTGCTCCCATAGCTTTACATTACTGAAAAAAGTCAACCACATGATCCAGTCTCGTGGGCGTATCCTCTATCTCCTTCGACTAATGAATAGTCAGGTACGTGGTAGTCAACACCACGAGCAAAAAAGTCTTTTTAAACGCTTTTCCACGCCTTGAGCACATGTGATCAAAACGTTATTTTTCCAGAGTTGAACTGATAAAATTGTAAACAGAAACTCGTTTCATCGCATGCCCCGCCCCAAAATGGGTACATTATGGCTGTTGCGACCAAATGGAAGCACGCACTTTGGAACTGTATCGTTGTGTAAAGTGGAGAGCTTGCGCACATTGTGTGGTGGGCAGTGAGAGACGTTGTTTAGCCTGCCACATCGATCCAACCAGTTGACAGGTTGACGATGTGAGCAAAGCATATAGTAGTTTAACTAACACTCGCACCACTTTCCTCCTTCAATCCTTCCTGACCATCCCTTCCCATCTGTGCATACAATTCCATGTAGTGGTGCATAATTTAATAGCATCTCTCCAAATGTTTGAATCGTGTTTTTTTGGGTTGAGCAATGCCATAAGTATGAAACCGTTAATTAAACCCACGTCAGTCAAAGGGTATCGTTAATGGTACTGAAATTTGAAATAAGTTATCTTCCAACCTTATATTTTTCGTGAGTGTGAGGAATGAGCAGTATCGGGCCAAATAGCTGCTCGCATACCGTAGCAGAAGGTGCACAAGTGCCGCATTCTCTGAATACGAGGCTCCTTGGGTCCATTTGACTGCAAATTAGGCGGTGGTACACCTCAGCCATAGTTAACCTGAAAGCACCATTTGTCACTCAATCGGGGTTATATGTCATTGGCTGGCTTAGAGTAATTCACTATGGTCATCACAAAAGCTTTGTCTATGGTGGGCTGGCTACTGGGTCGTGGGGCAACCCCAAGTCCTCGCGGTGAGTCACTGCGCTAGTGAGTCACGGTGTAAACAAAGCACCTCCACCAAACAGTGGGGCTGTTACGCCCTTCTAATGAAAGGCACTTGAATGTATGTCGGTTTGCCAATCGTGATGACTTTTGGCATGTCACGAGTACAAAGCATGGCACCCACACCACCAACATCGTCCACCCTCCCTCCGCTATGTGCAAAATGTTGGATTTAGGTTGATTTCTCCAGCATTCGAGATATTAGCCTGACACAACTAAGGGTGTTAATGTAAGAAGCCCATTTCATTGTTCTTCCTTTTTTTCAACAATCCCATATCAGCAGCTAGTTGTTTTCTACATCACTATTAAAATATACCGCGTGTCGCCCACCGTATCGCCGATCCAAGGGAGGAGCCCTCTTCATCCATTTATAGTCCAATTTTGGGAATTGTAGGCGTTTTCCATTAAAAAGTCTTCCGCACCACAGTCTCCTTAATTGCTTCTTGTAAAAGAATTGCAAGTCCTATCAAATATTAAGTCTTTGACCTATTTGTTTGAAAACTAAAAAAAGCCTTTTGGCAAACATTCACCCAGCCGTTTTTATCAAGGTTAAGGTAGTTTTGTGATTTGCATAAACGCAGGTAGTGTTTATCACACACAGCTCCAATTTCAACCTTCTCAGCGTGCTTCGCATAAATAAACTGTTTTTGAAACCCATCTATCACGTTCCTTTTCTCATTTCTATTCATTAACAGCATACCAATATGTTAGGCGACATTATCCCTTTGATCGTACATCACATTCCTTCCCATAAGTGTGGAAACCTTTCGACTTTTCTGCCAATTTCCGTTGTGGAATAAAAGCATCACTAGCCACTAAGACAGCGCAGTTTTCAGCATTGGTACTAATAAAATCTAAGGAAGTGCACACGTCTCCCTCTGAATGCTCTGTGGAAAGGACTAATTGACCACTGATCGGATACGCTTTCAGAGTCAGGTGCATTGGCATGAAAAGTGATACGAAACAAGTCAAGTTGAGGCGAGGCTCTTGCTCACTTTGCTGTTCATATTCCCACCACAGGAACGCTAAGCTTGAGTACTAACGTTTATTTTGCTGATACGGACCATTTCCCAATTCACCTGCTCATTTTTGAGGGCAGTCCTTTTCACCTTCAGTATTCGGCCAAACAAACGCCTCCTATTGGTGTCTCCGTTGGCATTAGAATACTTGTCAATAGGCCAAATGTTGGTTTGCAGTCACTTGTATAGCGCAATCGGGAAAGTTGTCCATCTTAATGGCATTAAACCACAATACCTATTTGCATTTAGTGTTGCTATTTTTCGTGAATGAAAAAAAAATATCTTTACTACGAGATGCTGGAGACACGACTCGAATTTTGAGGCACATCTTTAGCATGCACTTGGAGAAATAGAATGACATTTTCATTGGCAGTCGCGGAGGCACAATCTGCGTCCAGACCTGACTCACCGTTTCAACAAATAAGTGGCGTGACAAAACTGATTTAAAGCTTCGAGGAATGCCTTGTTAAAAAGACGGCATAAAACCACGGAGTCTTGCTAAATTCGAAAAGCTCACAGGGTTTTGCCTTGTATTGTGGGTCGCAAAAACAAAAATCGCATCTGCGTCACATCTACTGATAAACAGTAAGTACACTGAATCATTTTAGGCGGAATTGCTAAAATATCACTAGCTCTTTGTGTAATTTGAACGGAGTATTACTATTATCTCTTTTTTCGTTGAGCGATCAACTCTGTAGGATGAGTAGTATTCGCATGGATTAGCCTGCCACTTCAAAGTTAGTGTGGATAGGTTTCTGTTCCATAAGTGGAAATGGTGCCAAAGCTGTCATTTATGAGAGACACGGCGAGAACTGCAACACGTAACTTAGGGTACAATTTTTGCATAGTAATTAAACTGGAGGTCATGGCAACGTGTGCAAACCAGAACTAAAATCCGCCTTTCTCTTCCTACCGTATGGCACTTGAATGAATCCGAATTAACTCGAGCCCCAGCCAAACAGCATAAGTGGAACTGGGAAAAGGGAAGCTCTCTGGTAAGTTCACTAACATTGGATGCCAGTATTAATGGGGAGATCTCCGTTGCCTTCGAGCCCAAATGATTGGGATTTCAATGTGCATTTGACAAACACAAATTCACGTCTACATTCCCACTCCCTTATAAACAATCATTTAGCTTGCTGTTCCTATTTGCCACTGCCCTACCACTACCATTTAAGTTGGTGAAGCAACGTGGAATTGATGCATATCAATTCCTATTTAAGAGGAGTAAGAAGAAGCAAGTTCTTCGAACCATTATCCGTGGATTGAACTCGGTGTGTTCGGTCGTCAGTGCACCGAACTGTCAAATTCCTGAACACTTTTACTTCACTTTACCATCTCCTCCTTCTATCTCACCAAGTTCGCGATTCTCAATGCGCGCATCAATGTACAGTTCTAAGTTCAGTGGAAATGCTCAACTCTTATGGCAATATACCTTTAGCGTTTCTGACTGCAGTACCGACATGAGTTATTTGAGATGGAGTAAAGCGCTCCCACCGTATTTCTATGCGACAAGACCTGCAGACACCGCTAATATGAAATTCCATCCTTTCATCTTCTGCATTACAGAAGTGCAACATTCATTGCTTGCACAGCTGTGTTATACATTGGGACTGTCAACGTGTACTCACAAATGAAATGCGCAGTACTTCACAAAGCCCAACTCAACCTTAGCCCTCGTTCACGTAAACGGTGCAAATGCGTGTTGCCATATAAAATTCGGCTTTTGCGTTCTAAAAAAATCAAAAATACCTGCGGAATAGAGGCATAAGGCTTGAAGAGGCATGAATTTGTGCATGCAATGGGGTGGGAGGTAGACAAGTCAACCTGGCATTGGTTTATCGTTGGCGCCTTCTCGGCTATGAACAGGTTTCTGACGTCTAATCGGCAGCAGCGCAGTCATGTGTTAGTTATGCGTTGGTGGCGCCCGAATGCGCATGCATACGTAACGCGCGCACGGCTTCAAACCATTGTCTTCTCCAACTACGCAGCCGAATTTAGATGCGCTTTACTATTTGCCACCGAATGGCCAAAGCCTCTGGATTCGGGAAGGAAGCTCGTGGTCATCATTCTGTCCCATAATTGAGCGATGCGGACCAAAACAAACATTAGGGCCGTTTGACTGTAACCCAAATCACAAATAAAGTTAGATAGAGGCGACAACTTTGGAATTTTAAACATAAATTTACCTTGATGACTTGCCTTATGTAAGGAGGATTGAAGCAAGCTTTGAGTGAGTCATCAGCGAGAGCTCCGGCAGAATATTTTACGGCTGGAATGGGTTCAGCATGAAATCACGCATGCGCTCATGTTCACTGACACAAATTTTCAAGTAGAAGTAGAAATTGAATAGAGTGGAGATTCCCCATCTAAAGCCCTATTTGCAAGGCAATTTCAGAGACCTGTTAGCTGTGGAAAATTCTACCGGAACTCATAGCGAAATCCATTGTTGATCCACTTTTGCTTTGCCACCTATTGCTTGCTCGAGCGGTACACATGACCAGTTCCTACTGGAGCGATTTCCATTCAAGTCAATAACCTTATTTATAGGCTCATTTTTGCTACCATGTTAGCCTGTTCTTTCCCAAGCCTCTCAATTTGCTGCCAACAAAATACTTCTAGGCCAGCTTTTGGCTTCCATAGCAGTTCTTGAAGTTGGTTTATATTTACGAATATTTTTGGCCCGGCAAACACGAAAGCAGGGCTGTGTAAAGAGAAACGGGTACCAACATTGACTCCGTTTAATCGGTTCCCAAACACACACGGCACTCGTGACTCCTCCATAGAGCTGCTTAACCAAGCCATTGCTGATTTTAGATCAACTTGAACATGCAAAAGGTAAAAAACCATTAAAGCCCTAAGAATTCGATGTTAAGTGGTAAATGCTACGAGCGTCACATTGGGAAGTGACTAGAACCGTGTCCGCAATACCTAAACCACCCAGACCCTGTACTTAGAGTAGGGCTTTCAACGAATCACTTAGCCGTAATTCAACGACTCATCGGTAAAACCATTAACATCTCAAGCCTAGAAAACGGCATCTTAGATCTCAACGTCTTTTTAATGCGCAATATCAGGCATGAATACCTATCCAAGAACAGAAACGTCAGTTCAATTAGCACAACCTCACGAATTGAAGGTGTAATCGAATGAATTGACGCTTCTATGCACTGGATTGTAACATTGCCACCACGAGTACCACTATCCACTTAGGCTGACGAAAATGCGAAGATCTCTCTTACCAGTTATACGCCTGATGTTACACACAAAACGACCAGTGTCTACCACACAGAACCATTAACATGGGTTTCGAAGAGTTAGCCACTAAAAGAAGTCACTAGAGCAAGAATCGCGCTACCCGCCAAACGAGTTAATGGATCCCAATAAATATTCCTCTGAGTAACACTTGATTTGCAAAACGCAAACAACCTCAAGAGAATTACTTTCTCTGCAGCCACAGTAACAGCTAAGGAACCCAAACTTTCGCAGATTCTAGTAAGAGGGGTAACACTTATTGAAGACAACCAACTACTACACAAGACAGGAACTGGACAGTATGGACCAGAAAGGCTAAAAGAGCATTACCAACAAGAGTGCCAGTGAAACTACTTCTCTCGTCAAATTTCCGATCAAGGGCAACGCAAAATCCAACCCAACTATTTGATGAATATTCCAATAAGAGTGCAACAGTAAGAATTTACCAGGTTTGCCCGCTGAGTGACTAGCAAATGTCGACGGACGTTGACGCTTCATCAAAATAAAAATATACGCATCAACTCACTGAAGACCCCATTACAGTTGTCTGAAAACTCAATAAACACGTCAATCAAATCAAGAAATGAAATGATAGGGACTACGTAGGAACAATGGAGGTAGGCGAACAAATATATATGAATGCCTCACAGGGAAGTAGAAATGCGAAACGCGAGAAGACCTCGACATTAAAAACCGGGAAGTAAGTAAGAAGCCAGTCGGTGAAGGACGGCAAGGTGGAATGCATATAAGACAGAAATTCAAGTCACATGATTAGAGATTAAGAGAGGATGAGGAATAAGTACAAATTAATCTAGAAAACTTTGCAGCGTTTCTTCTTTGATTTCTTGGAAGTTTCTAATGCAGCTCGAGTCGCCATTTCAAAAACTTCGCGAACATTTTCCTTAGTTTTTGCTGGAACCGGGTAACATAAGCAAATTCTACATACCAGAGCACTCTACATAGCCATACGCACCAATTTGGTTGGCTTTTGCCTTGCCCTGTTCAGTAGTAACAGGAGACTGTTTAACTTTCGCAAGCTCCATTCGAGTTTTTTCATCATTTCGAAGATCCTTTTTGTTACCAACAAGTATTATCGGCACATTTGGACAGAAGTGCTTGACCTGGGACAGTTAACTCATGACAACCTTATTCCCACCTCCGCCGTCCACTTCTCGGATATATTCTCCAAACTATCGGGGCTATCTATCGAAAAACACATCAAAATAACGTCGGTTTCGGGGTAGGATAGAGGTCTAAGCCGGTCATAATCCTCCTGACCAGCAGTATCCCACAGCGCAAGTTCAACCTCAAATAGGTATAGAAACGGAGGCATACTCTTGTATTTTCCATTTCGATATCAGCAACATAATTTTCAAACACCGTCGGGACGTATACTTCCGGAAATTGGTCCTTACTGAAAACTATTAGAAGACAGGTTTTGCCACAAGTTCCATCTCCAACAATAACCAACTTCTTTCTTATTGCACTCGTCGCCATCGGGAAGTACAATTTCCGACGAACCGGGATGATGAACTTTGACACTCAAATGAATGGTCTAAACAATCTATATTCATAAGAAAGGCTCAATAAGTTGCCATACTAAACCGAATACGTTTATATGATGCCAAATTATTGTTAAAATATATTTCCTCAAATGGATAAAAATGACGGAGTTATGCAACTGGATCTTTCTACAAATGAATTTTGATGCTATGCGAAAATTGAGGGGTACAGAAGTGACACTCTTGTATTACTCAACAAAAAATTAATCAAATCAATGTTGGCGATTAAGAGAATCGTGCATCGCTAAAGAGGAGACTCGAGGTCTTAGGAGTGCAGCACTTCAAATTATTACACCACTTAAAAAAGGTGTTTAAAAGGAAAAATAACAGGCATATCATAGCTTTGACGCCAGCCTGAATTACAAGTGACCAACAAGCTAAGTATTATAGGGAAATTTAGCTACTATAACCAGCCGTTTGAATGTTAATATGGCACATAATGCTCGCTAGGATGCTCCAAAATAAAAGAATTGATTACAAAATGTAAATGGTGGAACACAATACACCAACGACGTGCAGCTCTGATCCAAATTTACGTGAAGAGATGCCTAGTTTATTATGACCTAATGCTTCATTTGCGTGGCTACCTTAGGTCAAGCGGTTACTTTAGTGTTCAACAGACCCCTGTGCCCTTGGGCTGGCCCTCGGCTCAAGTCAAAGCCCAGCCTCTTCTATTCCTCTTAGAATACATGTATGCAACCCAGCTCAATACCTTCTCCTACCTGGTGGGAAATCTCGGCGTAATGCTTTGTTTATGTGACTACCGGAGGTTCGGAGGTCACTTTAGTTGTCCGTTCCTTGTACTTGTGGACTGGCCTTCCGGCCGAGCTCAGACCCATCTGTTTAGTCCACTTCAAAACGCATGTATCCAGCAGCTCTTGTTATCTTCTTCCACCCTATAGATAGTCTCGAGACGCCACACTCGGGGTACTACAAACCCACAAACCGACCGTCCTTTAAGAGACACTTAGTAACTTGCAGAATCTATTCCCCTATAGTAGTATTACCGTTCAATGCTTTGTTTTTGTGGTCACACGGCGGTAACCTTAATATTAGTCGAGCCCTTGTACTCATGGGCCAACGTCAGGCGTAGCTCCTTTGTTCACGTTATATACATGTATTCAGCTACACTTACTGCCTTTTTCTGCTTTGTGGGAAGTCACCAGAACGCTACGTAAGGTTTTTTTAATTTTGCGCTGCATTGATTAGAACACAGCCTTTTGTGCCCAGATAATGTTAATCGCCAATAAAAAGATTTTCCTTTACACAGGCAATTCGACCGGCTTTGAATGTAGCGTCCCGAGAATTCCCATAGGGTAGAACAAGAAATAAGTGAGGTTGAATACGTATATTTCAAAGACAACAGGAGAAATGGGCTTGGGCATGGACCGAAGGCCAGCTCACTTGTACAGGTGCCAGACAAATCCTAAAGTGACCGCCAAACGTCATGTGGTCACATAAACAAAGCATTGCACTGTCCCTCTCTTCTTTTAAGCTGCGTCCTCCCCGCCCTCTTTTGGTGCACTTTCCGCACCAGCCATCACAACATACTCGGTACTACATGAACAGATAGCATGAGACTGAGGAACCCTACCTGGTTTCCCCGACAGCTTCAACTGGACCTACAGTACGTTCGGTCTGACAGCCAGATTCGGGCCGCCTACATCTGTTGATCACTAATTGCTTCCAGGAATAAACAGTGGACCTCTGGTCTAAACCATATATGTTACAGGGAAAACGGGGAGGGGGTAGCCGTGGTGTCATTTTCGACACCTGAACATGGATTTAGCATGGGAAATTTCGAGGCGAAATTATTCCAGGTAGTTCACGGTGGTGTCGTTTCAGTTGTTAATAGCTTGTCTGTGGAACACGGGAATAAGGGGAACCCAAATGCAGACATTCATCTAAATCCCTTCGTTATGAAGGATTCAGGGATTCTACATCACCAAGGTAACTGCACCTCCTTCAGTTCATGTCCCCTTTCGCCTGCATCTTCATCTTTTTCACTTCGATGGAGTCAGCTCATGATTGCCGGTGCACAACGCCAAAATGCGCTTCTTAATCTTGGACTTCTCCAACCTTTAGATCCTGTGAGACTTGTAGGTACTGAGCCATTGCATCATCCGATCGAATCATTGCTCGTCAGCTTGTTTGTACAGTTCTTTTCCGGAAATCAGTTGGTTAACTGGCAAAGTTTAGCAACACAAACGTAGAAAGTTAGTAAGACAAGGGTGTCTGTTGGGCGACCGATTTTCCCAGACTATGTCGCTTTCAACAAACGATAAACGAAGAATAATCCGCAGAAAGAGACCCTAACTCGGCTAAGATTCGTTAAATGGGTTTGAAAAGATGTATTTCCGAGATGACAGAGCAAATGGGGGCAGAGCGTGCCCCGAAGGTCAACCCACGTGAACAGGTGTCAAACAAATCCTCAAGTGACCGACAAACGTTAGGTAGTCACATAAACAAAGCATTACAATGAGAAGGAAGAAAAGAAATTATGTCCTAATGCGATGGAAAGGAAACTCGGAGTTCGAAACCGGGGATATTGCTTGGCAAATGGAGAGAGCTGTACCTAAAACAGTGTGTGTAAAATATTCTTTGTAGATGAGAGGCGGAGGTCTTACTTAAAAGGGTCTGCTGGATGAGCGCTACGATATCTTTAGAAACTTTGCAGTTATTTCCATATCGTTAGTCGGACACACTTTACGCTTGTACCTCTAAGCAATGCTTGATACACCTTTGCAAAGTTACCATATCCTGTAAAGCCCGATGCAATGTGATGAAAGAAGAATGAGAGGTATCGCACATTAAACTGGCATTTTTTGCTGAATTTATGGCGGTGGCGGAAACCTACCTGCATGTATTGCTTCTTCTTTTAATATTTTTGAAATGCAGCATTCGATGTTCATACCCTCTGTAATGTTTTGTTTCTGTGACCGCCCGATTTATGCCAATTTCTAAAGAATCGTTTGCGCTCGTATAGATGGGCTGGACTTCTGGTTAAGGTCAGGCTTAATTCCTTTGAAATCCCTGAACTACATGCATCAAGTTCCAATCGACACCTTCTTGAGGCACTACTGTAGCAACTTGAAACTTTCCACCGGGTAGGATAAGCAGTAAATGAAGCTGAATGCATCTTTTTGAGGAGAACAAAGTAATTAGGCCCGAGCATGACCCGAAGGCCCATCCAAAAATACAGGGACTAAACAAATTTCAAGCGACGGCCATACATCAGGTGCTCACATGATTGAGGCACTGTAGCTGCAATGGCAGCTATTGCTTCTGTCTTTTTGCTAAAGGTGTCGAAAGGCGTCATCGTTGCTGCATAGCAGGCTTTCAAAATGGAAACTTGGTCCTCATTCGGGTGCATTTCAGTATTATGAATACTGATTAATAAATTTAAACCAAAGTTTACAAGGTTCGTTAAGTTTAACTTTCGTACGTAATCAACTTTAAGGCCTTATGTATAATTTACAAAACGGATTATTGACGTGCACAACCCTTCAACTAAAAATATTTCAAAGCAAAGCAACATCATAATTGTAAAAGTACTCTATAACTTTAACTTTTAATTTTTTATTAAATGTCCTTCCTTGCTTTTTTGCTTTCGCTTGTTATAACAAATGGGACAACAAGCAGTATTTTGTGCCCTGTTTGAGCTTGCCTGTATTGATGGCTTCCGACGCGATAAGGAAGAAGCTTGTCATTGTGGGCGATGGCGCTTGCGGGAAGACTTGTTTGCTGATAGTATTCAGCAAAGACCAGTTTCCTGAAGTATATGTGCCTACTGTTTTTGAAAATTATGTTGCTGATATCGAAATGGACAATACGAGGGTTGAGCTTGCCCTCTGGGACACGGCAGGCCAAGAAGATTATGATCGCCTGAGGCCATTGTCTTATCCAGAAACTGATGTTATTCTTATGTGCTTTTCGATTGACAGTCCGGACAGTTTGGAAAATATATCAGAGAAATGGACTGCTGAAGTTAGTTTGGCACGGTGGAAGACTGTTTTTAGGTCAAGCACTTTTGTCCTAACGTACCGATAATTCTCGTCGGTAATAAAAAGGATCTTCGAAATGATGAAAGAGCACTGGCGGAACTATCAAAATTCAGGCAGTCTCCTGTAACTACAGAGCAGGGAAAGGCAAAGGCCGCTCAAATTGGAGCCTATGGTTATGTGGAGTGTTCCGGTAGATAATCCGTTTTCGTGTAACCGATTTTAGCTAAAACCAAGGAGAATGTCCGCGAGGTCTTTGAGATGGCTACTCGGGCAGCGCTAGAAACGTCCAAGAAGTCAAAAAAGAAGCGATGTAAAGTCCTGTAGACGTGTATTTTCTAATAATTCCCTAATCATGCAAAGCAACATTCGATTTTATATGCGACTGGCGATCTTCTTCATCCCCTCTTGCATAGAAGTTGCTTTGTGTTTTGTACTAATTGGATTTAATCGTTCTGCGATCAATATCAGTTTTTGCTTGTGAAGAATGATATACTATTTGTTTGCTTATCATTACAGTCTCATCTGTTCTTGATCGTTCATACTCTATGCTTCAGTATGGTTTTGGCGTATTAACTCATTTTTCTGAAAATTCAGTTTGCCTAGTCATACATTATCGTAATCTCTCGTGAACTACACACCAGTTTGTTATTGTCAGTGCTCCCAGGTTAACTTCTACAGCGCTCGGAGCAATGTAAGCATAGTTGTTGAAATACTCGTCTAATGCATCATAGTTCTTTGTTTATTGGCCTTCAATTTCGAATTGCTATCGGAACAGAACCCCATGTTCAGGACCATATTGCGTTTTAAGTTATCCACCATGGCCTTCGGACCTTGCGTCGCCGTTGGGCAATTGTTGTGGTTCAAATGTTGACCTTAGTATTTCCATACGCATGTGTAATGCCTAATGTAGACGTCGTGCGTCTCAGACGTAATTACTTTCATCTTGCTGCTCATTGTTTGCGTTTACCGAAGTTCCACGTTAGATACTCGCTGGTGATTCCTTGCAAATACATATTAATTGTCATATTTCATGTGAAGATTACCGTGGTCAACTGTGTGCCCTTTGTGTGTCTATGATACTCTGGTTTCCCGAGTTGCTCAGGATGGGTATGGTTCTTTGCGCCTTTGAAGTTTGGTGATCCCAGAGGCCTTTATGTAGTGGAGGAATTAATAACTTGTGAATTGGAACTAATATAGGTCTTGTTCAACCGTAGCACACTCACAAAGATCCCTCGGGAGACTTGCAAGTCATCGTTCAATTTTAGCCAATCGGGTAACTTAATGTTATCAGTGCTTGGTCTTTGGTCATTCCACATTGGCTTCCGAACTCCTAAGTAGTGGTGGATTTCGAGCATTGACAGAGGAATCAGAGTCCTAACCAAATGTTTTTAATTATTCATTGGTTACCTTGACATCCTTATTGTTTTAACTTTTAACTCTTGTGGGTGGCAAATCGGAGTAACTACGCTACCTCTTGTAATAGCTTGTAGCATTGAACCCATTCACACAAGTGGTGAGCATCGAATCCTGACGGTCACTTGATTTAAATTAACTACGCACTCATGACTCACCCAGAAACGGTTTTATTTTTCTTGCATGTATAGCTTTGCTGCTGTGTGCCCGTCGCTGAAGCGGAGCGTTTACCAATTATCACTTTCTGTTTGGTGTGCTGCATTTCAGAGCGTGCGCGTACTAGCAAGCGAAAGCATCACATGACACATCTGATGTCAGGGTCTTTGCATCAAAAACCTAGCAACTACGTCTGTTTCCCTTCTGCACAAACAGGTGAATTATTGTTCCGTTAAGGTTGACAAGAGAAACAATTTGCAATCTGTGCTATAATGAAAAGTGAAAGTAGATATTGGGATTTTAAAGGATGGAACTTGTCACTATACGCATTCTTGTACACTGCATTTTGCCAAGCTCTGGTCATTTTGGTTTCCTTCGTTTGTTAACCTTTTGAATTAGTGCAATGAAGGCGGTCTCATTTCGCTACAGTTAGATGGTTGTAATGACTAGGGGATTGCGCTGGGTATCAAAATGCTTCCCAGGCAAGTGAAGAGCATGGTGCGCGAGTATTACAAAACTTTCAGTTTGAGTGAGTCAGCAGTAATTACTGATATCTCCATTACCGAAACTTGTCGTCGTGTGAAGGTGTGAGGTGTGATTTGTGAGCTAGTAGTATGATAATAGGATGAAGAGACTACATTGACTGCCACTAGGAGCTCCGCTCTGATCTGGCTCCATGGATGGTTCAGTTAATGAAGCCAACGGATCTGGGCCACATGCTTTTGATACTTACGCTTAATGAATTCATTCATAGTAAAATTGGTCAATTTCGAATGAGCATCCGATGTGGTTTAGAGCCTCATCGCACCATATATGTCCAAGCCTCGCGATTTTGTTATTTCTTTCATGGTTCGCCATACAGCTTATCCATGCACCAAAATTTTTAATGGACGGAAGCGTTCGGTTACTGATGTAGTTGCATAATGAGGGGAGCCGGTTTGTTTGGGCAGTGTTGGGTGAGGATATGGCTGCAGGCAAATGGCCGTCTTTATGGGCGTCCACGTGACCGCACACGCGTGTGCGCGTCTGTGCAATCAGCGACTGCTAAAGGGCTGTCGGGGCATTCAAGCATAAACTAGAGATGGAGAGGCTGTGGTTGCACAAGCGCACTTCACTTACGCAGCTAAACTTCTTAAGCAAATTTAAACAGCCCTGTTACTTAACTAGCCATGGGTGTCAGCCCACGCGATGTTGCCTTTGCAATGCAAAGGAGGGGAGAGGAACCCGTCCTTATTCCTCTGGCTTTGTCTTCCACCGATTAACTACAATTATTATACACCTCGGAAATAGGTATTTGGATTTCAAGGTTTAAGAATCCACATATCTATGCCAAACTATGGAAGTGTGAAAAGGAGTCTACCGAAGATTTATCGAGCAGAACCAGTCAGAAAGGATAGTCATCATTGTTGAGATCATCAAATTTGGGAAAAAACCTGTTGACAACAAATGTAGAATATCATGGGAACCAAATGTACATGGTGAATTAATCTCCATAAGCATTCGCACAGCCAGAAAAGGTTATGTTAGCGTAGTAGAAACAAAGGAGGAATTGGTTGTCAGAAAATGAAATTCGTTAAGATAGTACTTCCAAAACTGTCCATTATTGATGCTTTATCCATTTGTATAACCGATTTTAGACATTACCGACTTCATCATTAACTATCTGGAAATATCTTTTGGATAATGAATAGTGAAAAGTTGTGGGGATGACAGGGATTCCTTTTAGCTATACTTGGGTCATCTCGACGATCACGCAATAGTACGTAATTGAAAACTGGGTAAAAAATTAACTCCCTTACCAAAGGTAAAAGAGCAGAAACTATTCAAGCCTTGGGAAATTCGTTACCCTCTGGTGAATTTCAGAATTGTAAAGGAAATACGTTTGAAATTTTGGAACAAAAAGTAGTACAAACTCTGTTTTAGTCGGCGCATATGTAGAACCCCGAGACTTCCTATTAGATAGAAGACACTGATTTGAAGGGATTGGGCTTTGGCATGACCATAACATCAGCTCACCCCTACAGGGGCAAAACAAATGCCAAAGTAACCTCCAGCCATCAAGTGGTCACATAAACAAAGTATCGCCGTGCCCTTCCTTTCACATAAGCGGCATTCTCGGAGCTCCCCTTTGTACACCTCCTGCACCAGCCACCACAACATAACCCACGCTTCAACTGGACCTGGAGCCACGTTCAGTCTGAGAGCAGGAGTCGGAACCGCAAACACCTGGTGACCATCAATTGTTTCCACGACTAGGCGTTGGCATACTGCACTCAAACAGATAGTTAGCAGAGATGAGGTCAAACGCAGTCCCATGTGGAAAGGCATTCGGTGTACTCCCACCTTCGACATCGCTGCGCGGATGTAGTACAGAGAATTGCTAAGCGAAACTTTTCCGGATGGTTCATGATGGTGTCGCTTCAGTTGCTAAGACTATGTCTGCGAAACATGGGGAGGAGGTGGAATCAAACGCAGACATGGTTCTCAACCCTCTTCTTGTGAAGACTTCAGAGAATTTCCCGTGCCAAATGAATGGGGGTAATCCGCATCGTAGATATGTCATTAACGTTGGATA